ATATTGTAATTTTAATTGAATTTCGTTGAATCTGATTTTATTTAATTTATAAAAACAGAATAAAAAATATTTAATTTGTTAGGAATAATAATATTAATCATTTTTATTATTTAGTTTATTTTAAATTTAAAAATAAAAAAGATTATATCGTTATTATTTTATACTTTATATCTTTATAACCATTTAAAATTTAAGTTGATTATATTCTTAGGGGTATATAATAAAAATTTAGTAATAAGTAAATTAATGTTACAAAATAAATAATAATAAATATAGTAATTAGTGAAAAACACAAATAAATAAATAAATAGTGATGAATACAACAGTTATAATTATTAATTTATGTAGTAACTTAGTGAATAATAAAAATAATAACAATAATCATTTTAATCATTTGCAATTTAAAAATCAAAAAGATTTTATCCTTATAAGTTTTTATTTATTAATTTATAAAGAAAGTAAAAAATATTTTTAGGAGTTTATAAATTTTACGTGGCACAAATGGACCGGAGGTACAAAGAGTACGACCTTTTCATAATATCAAATATTGTTAGGCAAGTTTATTATGTTCCTTATCCTTCATTTGTGCCACGTAAACGACGGTGTTGTGTTGTAATAAAAAAAAAATCATTGGGTCATATTGAAACTGACGATCTAGTGGAAGATGTTGCTTACCAAGTTGATGAAGTTGAAGTTAATGATGTGATTCCAGATGAACACACTACAAGTTTTTCTGATACAATGGTTGAGGGGAATCAAGTTGATGAGGATGAAGATCATGAAGATTCTGGATCCGAGGACAATACCACATCAGATGACGAGGATGATATGGATGACGAGCATGACGATTTAGAATAGTGAACCTATATTCGTGAGAATTGTGTCTTGTAATTTTACTTGACGAACCATCTATTGAATGAGTTAATGAATATGTATTCATGAGAATTGTGTCTTGTAATTTTACTTGACGAACCATCTATTGAATGAGTTAATGAATATGTATTCATGAGAAATGTGCTTTTCAAATATATTATATGTTAACTTGTATTTTTTATAAATAGGTAAAAATGCCACCCAAGGATAATAAGGGTAAAGGTCCTAGTGATAGTGGTAGGAAGCCCAGGCGTCCAAGGGTAGTAGTATGCCAGTCACCTCACTCAGTCACGTGTCCTCCCCCGCAGAGTCAGGTTCATCATATGTCCATGGACAGTACTATGCCATTTACGCCATTACTATCCTCTCAGAGTCCTCTTCAGTTCCCATCTAGGAGTCCATGTTTTATTAGTCCATCTGGGGCCCCACCTGGTTTACCATTCCAGCAGACACAGGTGCCCTCATCCTTCCAGCACAGTTTTCCATTTGCCACACAGATACCCTCATTTGTGCAGCAGCCTGGAGGATCCAACACCCCACTTCCTACACAGATGCCCCCATCCGTCCAGCAGCCTAGAGGATCCACCTCTTCACGACCCACACAGACTGGTCGCACTCCACATCCCACACATGTACCTGCATCCGATGATCATGCAGAGTCGGATGATGACGATCTTGGTGTGGGCGATGATCAGATAGATGGGAGAGATCTTCAAGGGGATGATGATCCGAGTGAGATTCATACCATTGATGGGAGATTTTGGATTTGGCCTGAAGGGAACTCGTAAGTTTCTTATTTATTGATTTTTATTTATAAGTACACATTTCCATTTTTAATATAACTTTATATACTTAATTATGCTAATTCAATTATTGTTGTTTTAGTTTCGGGCCGAGTCGGACTACTGCTAGGGTTATAAATTATATAATTTAGCAGAATTATACAAAATTTTTGAAGAGTTTTAGAGAAGTTTCCGATAAAGACAAATGGTTTAAGCAATTTCAGGTATAATTAATTTATTTCTTAAGTTATTTTTATTTAAATGACCTTTTCATTATTGTTATAATTTATCTAACTATTTATTTTAATGTCATACAACATTGCAGGCGAAATGTGTTTGGGATCCGCTGAACCATAACAAAGTAAAAAAAAATTATTTTGGCAGGAGTTCAAGACAACTTTCTGACATGCTACGACGTGTTAGAGAGAATTGGCAATTTTTGAGCATTCGTCCCAAATGGATAGGCAAAGAAGTTTTTGAACAACTTCTTAAGTATTGGGAATGAGATGAATTTAAGGCTAAATCTGAAAATACAAAGAAGATGAGGGCATCAGAAAAAGGGGGTTGCCTTAATGCTGTTGAAAGTATTAGTACTGCTGAGCATGCTCGACGCATGGTAATTATTACCACTTTTTAAAGTCATATTTGAATTTATAACATATATTATTAATTTAAGTTAATTTTTTTATTTAGGCTAAGCGTTTGGGGAGACAACCATTGATGACTGAGCTGGTTACCGAAACTTGGACAAAGAAATCAGGAGGATTTATTGACGAGCGTACAAAAAAAAAGCTCTGGTAAGTAAATTTATGTTTATATTTTTTTTAAAGAAATTTTGTGACGTGATTTTCACGTAGCAAGTGAGATGTTGTGGCGTGAAAATTGAGTGGCAACTGATAAGTTTTGGCGTTACAATCACGTGGCTATTTGTTTTTTATTATTTTTTTATTTAATTTAATTTCATTAATTTTACTTATATATTAAACTTGATTTTTTTATTGTATGTGTAGGAGGATTATCAGACCTTGCTTGTAGAATTTCTGACCCATAATCCTCAGTATACTCCTCCTCCGGGAAAACCGGTTCATCCAGATGTGGATTTCTATATTTGGAGTCAAGTTGTTGGAGGAAAGGGGTCTAACGGGTGTTTTTTTTGTGGTGGAAATTTGGCGGGCACCTTGAGGAGTGGGGATAGAAATTTGTATCAGAGAGCTGTAGACGGTGAAGGAGGGTCACGTCAAACAAATTTGATACTAGATCAGTTAGAACTGGTAAGACAATTGGCTAGACGCGAGTCCGAAGAACGTGAGGCAGCATTGAAGGCCCAAATGAAGGCAATGAGGGGTAAACATAATAGAGAAATGGAGGCAATGGCGAAGAGGCAAGCTGATATGGATGAGCAAATGCGACAATTTATGCAAGCATTTGGTAGAAATCCCAACAGCGGTGGCCAAAATAATGATGACTTTCTTCGCGACGTTTCCGACGACTCGAATGATCCTTCTGTTTAGTTTTATTTTTATTTTCTATTTAGTTTTTTATTTGTGTAATATAAATTTATAATCATATTGTATATTTAAAAATATTAAATTTAAATTTTAGTTTATTAAATTTATAATATTAAGTATATTAATTTATACATTTTGATATATTTAGTTTTATTTTTGATAATTTAATTTATAATATTGTATTTAATAAATAAATTATAATATTTAATTTATAAATTTAATGAAATAAAAAATAATATTAATTATTATATCAGAACTAATATATTTAAAACACAAAATAATTTATTTATTTTTAAAAATAAGTTGTGGCATGTTTTCCACGTCACTAATTAGTGACATGAAAAACACGCCGCAACACCAAACGTAAAAGTAAATATAAAACCTGCTCTGACCTCTACTCTGTTCTAAATTCCTTTGACCCTATAAAGTTTGTTGCGGCGTGAATTTCACGTGGCAACGTTGTGACATATTTTCCACGCCGCAACAAGATTGTCACGCGCTCTCCAGCGACGTGTTTCTTAAGGTGGCAAAAATGAAGTTGTGACGTGATTTGGGTGTTAGCGACGTGGGATTCACATGGCAAAACACAACTTATTTTGTAGTGTAATTCTTTTCAAAAGTAGAAAATATTGTCCCATAAAAATTCAATTTATGAACGTTAAGACTACCAATAATCAATGAGATCCATATTCCAACATTACTTTTCTGTCATTAATTCAAGTCTTTTATTTATTTTATTTGCACAACTCAATCCTTATTTTATTAGCCTCAGATAAACACTGTAACGATAGAAAACGATAACTTGACTATTAGATCTATGTGCGTTTGACACTCTTTATATTACTTTGATATTTTCGTGCACTTGCGAAATACCACATCATTAAATCAACTTAGTTGATAGCTATGCAGAAATATCAGATACATACTCGTAAATTCAAACCTGTAACATCCTACTTGTTCATCTTTAAATGGTGAATTTCAACTACTAAACTATATAATAAAAAAAATTATATATACCGCAAAAAATTACTTTGTGTGTTATTTACGTTGGTAATTGGCCATGCATGTTATTAATACACATCTACTAGTATTTATAAAGCACCTTATATTAACAACATGCATTTTATGATGTATTTAATTTTTTTTAATTATTACCTACTAAAAATAGAACGTTTTTCGAAAATGTCTATAGAAAATGTTAACACACGCCAACTTATTTTTTAAATGAATGTTTTAGTAAATGCACTTTTGAATATATTTAACCATCTCTTAATTATAACTTGCTAAAATATTTCTTCTAAAAAACGCATAAACTAAAATAGTAGAATGAAATTCAAACACACACACAAATAAAATAGTAGAATGAAATTCAAAAATATTATCACCGAGTACAAGAAACTATAGAAAACAATCATTAGAAAGAAAACAAATATAGAAAACAATCAAGAAAACAAATATAGAAAGAAAAAATTACTAACAAGTTTTGAGTTTTACATTATGATGCTACTATTTTATCCTTTACAATCATTAGCTCCTATACTACCTATATACTATAATCTAAAACATCAAGGTAATAAGGGAACATAAATTGAAATGTAAAATAGAAAAACACACAAAAATTTGAAACCTTAACTCAACTATATATATGATAAACAAAACTAAGAAGTTAAAACTGAGAAACAGAAGGAAAAAAAACAGTTGAAGTGTGAATCCACCTTCAATCCTTTATCTTAGGCTTTAACCTGGGAAAGACACGTCCTTTGTTGTTAATATGTAGATTTAATGGAAAACACATGATTAAAGACAGACACACTTGATGAAAAAAAGACTAGGTTAATTACTTGTTCTGTGTTGGATTTGGTCTGCTAGGTGGTATGACTCTAAGGCTAGCAGCTACCTGTTGAGTTGATTTTGAATCCCCTTGTTTATATGAGAGAGAATGAAATGATGAAAGCATTTTTGAAACTTTGGATGAAGATGGGTAAGTACTAGCTTTGGTATTTTTGAAAGCATTTACCTCAAGTGAAAGGATCACTGTTATGGCAAAGATCACAGCAATGATTAAGGTACACAGAGATTTCATGTTGGTCTTTTATTGACTAGGGTTTGAGGGATGTCTTTCACTTACAATCTCTGTTTCTAATTATAAACCGTAGAACATCGTATATTATTAACTCTGGTATATTGTCTCCGTTTTATAATGAATGTCGTTTTAAAAAAAATTGATTTCAAAACGAATGTCATTCTTGTTGAAATAATATAATAAATGTGAGTAAATGAAAAAATAGTTTCACATTAAATAAGAATGTGAAAACTTGATAATATATAAGTGAGAGAACACACACATCTATTATCTTAAAGTTTTAAGTAGATAAATAATATCTCTTTCACGACGATGCATGATATAATAATAAGCGAGAGATTTGTATTGGAATTTGAAGGTGAGTCATGTGCTAAATCTTTGACTAATTCAGCTTACAAGTCCCAAAGCTAAACCAGCACATGATTAGGTTTACATTGATTTTAGTATTTTTTTTTTCTGAGGGCGTCACGTGATATGGAACGTGATTTATTTACAGCTGGTGGGTTGGATGCTACTATTTCAGAGATTTACAATTGCTTTCAACTGATCATTGTTGATCAAACCAACGTAATGCAAATGATTTGGTTTAAAAAGTTCAGTATTCTATATTTGTAAAGGATTGCTATGTATTATGTGTGAGATATGAGAAAAAAAAAATTCAATTTCAACACTATTTAAAATGGACAGACTCACACAGTTAATGTTTTAAAATTTTGTGAAATGATGTAGTTGAAATTCACTTGTGTGGTTAATCTTAGTCTAAATGTAATAATTTAACTAAGTTGATGTAAATTTTTGTGAAAGTCTCAACAAATAAAGCACATTAACAAATGTAACTATGCATATATTATGATGAGTTAATGAGTGAGTTGAAACTCATATCTTAGTCTTTAAAGTGAAATTTAGTGATGATAATTAAAAACATAATTAGTGGGTAATACGTAAAAGATATCTACAATTATTTGAAAATTGAAAACAATTTATAAATACTTTAAGTTTTAAAATAATTTACAAAAATACAAAAATACAAAATTAAAGAAAAAAATTAAGAGATTGTATCAGCAATTTATATAAATTCGGTCTAATTGTTTGACTTATTTTTATTTCTGAATTTCTTTTTGAGTGTTCTACTAAATCTACACTTGAGATTTTTACAAGATATGTTGACAAATCTTTAACAACAAATTAATATATATTATTGATTAAGTTCAAGAACTCATAGACAGAGCTTTTGCATGGATATAACTCAAGAACCTTCTAATAAAGTTTTTAAACAAGTCAAGTTCAAGAATCTATTGTAAGAGTTTTTATATAGATTAAGTTCAAGAACCTACAAACAAGTTTTTATCACATTTAACTTGTAATTTTTTAAGTCTTCACAAAATAATTCTACAAGAGAATCACACTCTTTAATAATGAAAATTAAACACAATATCGGTTACAACACAACTCTCACAAAAACTTTTTAGTTTTTTAGTACTATGATAATTTGTTAAAAAAGTAATTTCAGAATAAAGAGGGTAGAAGAAAAAATAGAGAGATTTTAATTCAGAAGCCTATGAAGATATAGAAGACGAAGATCAAGATTAGGGGAGTGCGTGTGATGATGAGTGTAACACCCTTTTAAACACCACGGAATATTACATCATAAGTCAGAGTAAATATAACACACATATCACTTAAGTGTGTCACACATACTTCATATATTACAAACTCATGTCATGCTCAATAACACTAACTAAAATTTATATTTTTCATATCACTTTCACATAAGCATGTAGCAGCGAAATTATTTTCATTCAAATGAATATAATATTCAAGTCTCCAAAATAATTCTTTATTGAATTAACTTAGGCATAAAATCCACTTCACCACATAATTCAAATCAAAATAACAGAATAAAATAGAGTACATAAAGTATCTCTTCAAAAACATGAATTCAAACGTTTCTCAGTGTTACATGATCAAAGCATGACTCAAACCAAAATAAATACAGAAATAAAATAAGCTACTCCATCAGCTACTCTCTTGCTAGAAGCAACTCTAATCTTCAGTACCTGAGTGATGTCGTTATCAAACATCATTCCAACCGAAGGGTGAGAATTTACATAATTATCAAAATCATATAACAACATATAATACTTAGCATACATGCATACAAATAATATTATCACACTTCATATACTTTATATTCACAAGTATTCATTCACAATCCACAATTTCACAACATATATCAATTCCACATATTTCACATACTTCCATATTGTAAACATCGACACAATGTGACTCAATACAACTCAAATGCAATACTCATACATGTGGTACCAATCACTATTATTTTTATTCAGTTTTTACTTTAAACTGGCTCCGCCCTCTAGACGATTAACACACCAAAACTCGTCCTCTAAGCTTTCAAACTCCTCTCTAGATTTGTGACAAGTCACTAGCTCTCTCGAAACTAACAAGCATGCTTTTTGACAACAAATGATGCATGTGCAATTACAACAACCATATACAATTAAGATCATTCTCTAATCTTAACATTCATGCATATCTTCAGTAATTCATCACACTTGAATTACCACACATTTGCACACACATACATATACTCATGAATTATTCACATACAATTCATAATCATAGTATCCCTGCACCAAAACATTCTCACACTACATAATAAACAATGTACGAATCATCGTTACAATCCAACACCAATCACCAATACGCATAACACATGCATGCCATTTTACACAACCACACAATGATTAAATCATCTATTGCCAACAAAACTATTTTTATTGAAAATATTATCACGCTAGCTTTCTAACGTTTCGAAAACGAATTCACGGTTTAAAAGTTATGAATTTTTGAAAATCATTATTTTTATGTCTGCTTACTGTGTACCCGGTTACCTAAATAATGGTAATCGGTTACACCCTACCAAAATGGCCAAAAATGCTATTTTCAAGCTGTAACCGGTTATCCAAATACAGATAACCGATTACCATTGTACCAGAGTGAAAAAAACCATATTTTTATATTATGAAACTCAATTTCAATCTAATTCCAAAATCCCAAGCCTCTCCTATCAACAATCCAATATTTCATATCATCCACACAACATATATGCATCAATTTTCAGACAATTTATCAATCCAAACACATTTATTCAATAATTTCATGATTTTACATTATACCTAAAACCTTCGAAACCTCGACAATGACATAAATATGAAATGGACTCAAATAGAATTTTATTCTACAATTATCAACACCCAAACAAGTAATTAATCCCTACTCACAAATCAACATCATATACAAGATTTCTCATTCAAAACCTAAGAATTTACAAAATCTAAAAATTGATAAATTTCATTTTAAGTATGATTTTACCTATCATATCTCATGATACAATTCTCATAATTAAGTAAAAATCCACCCTTACAAAATAACATTAACTCTAATAACCACTAATGGATTTACTAACACACTCCTCCACACTACTCTTTTCATTCTAATCAAATAGGCTCAATTACCAATATTCTATTATTTCTATATAATTATCACTAATAAAATAATTCTATCATACACCCACTACAACATTTGTTGTCTCTGGCAACATTTTTTTAGGTAACATGTAGAAATTGTTGCCTTAAATTCATATAGGCAACGATTTACGATTGTTGTCAAAAATATGTTTGCAACCCTTGATAATCGTCGCCTAAAATACATTTGGGGACGTTTATGGAGCGATACTCTTTTATTTTTTTGCCAACGATTGTTAATTGTGCCCTTAACTGTTTTTGGGGACGATTTTAGAGCGTTAAAATATTATTTCTTTAGCAATGTTTGACAATTATCCTCTAAAATATTTTTGGGAACATTTTTAGATTTTTACATTAGTTATAATAAAAGGCTACATTTCTGAAATATTGTATAAATTTTTTTAGCATTATCAAATTTTTGGTGGCAATCTTCCCTCCAAAACTTATACACTAAAAAACAAATATTTTTCTCTAAACATTATTAATATATATATATATATATATATATATATATATATATATATATATATATATATATATATATATATATATATATATATATATATATATATATAAAATTTTAACACATAATTATAAAATAATATTTAATTATAAGCATGTATTTATCCACACGGAGTTAATAAAAAATACAAAATTATAAAATCTTATTACATGCTGTATCCACACTTAACAAAAAAATTAAGTCAAACTATAATTTTCATTACTCCTCTTGCGATGTCTCTAATCTTAAATGCAAATATTACAGTTAAAATAATTGAGAATTTGAAGACAATTGAGTTTGAATAAGCCATGACTAAAAGCATAATATCTACAAGACGTATATCAATCTTTATTTATATAATACTAAATAGTTTAGGCGCATTTCTTATTTTAAAAACTTAATAACTTTTTTGCAACTTCTTTAATAATAATTATAATTTAATATATGTTGGTTTCATATTAAGGGACACCATAAAGATATAATCATTATAAAAATTTAATATTTCTTTATATATCAAGTAATGTTTTTTAATAAAGAGTGAAACATTAATAACATTAATAAAGTTTTAATTTTAAAGGAAGAATTCAAATATTGTTATAATATATAATTATTATTAATAATGTGCTATGCATTTCATTTCATTGTTTCAAATTATAAAATATTTTAGATATTTTATACAAATTATAAAATACTTTAGATATTTTATACAAATTAAAAAAATATAGTTAATTTATATGAAAAAAAGAAATTATATATGAATTTATAATATTGACTTTTATTTTACACAAAAAATTAAATAATTAAAAAAAGAAATAAATGAAAAATGGTATATCATTAAAAGTATCACTAATGTTGCAAAATGAAAGATCGTAATAATTAAAATTGTAAAGTGATTTATAATTTAAGATAGTTTTATTTTGTAAAGTGATTTTTAATTTAGTACGGAGGAAATA